TACACGTTAGTAGCATACAAAATTGCATGCACTTAGACCCCAAAGGCTCATATATCGGTCTTATAAATGGCCCGATCCCACTGCATCTGTGTACGAAGTTTGGTTGAAGTATGTCAAAAATGTACATATCTTGCGATCTCTTCTTATCATATTTCGTCATGTATGCCTGGATTAGCGGCAGATTGTAGTATCAATACACCTTGAGAAGAAGGTTGAAAGTGCAAAATGCATGCGTTGCTTATAGAGAAGAATCTGCTTGGTCTTGCCTCCCCTAGGAAGTTCATCTGCTGCTGTTTGTCGTTGAAAATGGAGATATTCTTGTCCTTAAAGCGTGCTCCAATTTACTTTGGAACCGCCTCGATAGCAGATATATCCGCCTGGAAAACACTACAATGGTCAGGTCCTGTGAGGGCATCTCCGCCAACTTTCCAAGTGAATATTTTGAGTAAAAAAAAGGGAAAGATGGATATATGAATCACCACAACTTGTCATACTCATCTGGTCAGTGTAAATTTTCTTCTTTTGGTACTTGCATACTTCGGACCAAAGTCACTATACTCGTACGATTTCATACCCAAGGCATGAAGATAAATTAAAATTTTATCTTAATTAATTTTTCCCCGCATGGTTCTAAAATATTGAAAAAACATTAGACGTTACTCTGAAATGTTCTAACGGGTTAAAAAACTCAAAACTAAATTCTTTTAAGGTTTCTACTAAGCTCTGGTCTGGTCAGATATAAGACTCAAATCTAAAATCTTTTTGGGATCAAGGTTTTTCTGGAACATTTCAAATCTTCACAGCCTTTGAAAGCTGCTAGAATCAACATGACAACTACAGGTTTACTATTATTGATTTGAAAACCATTTAAATAACTTCGGTAAAAATAAACTGAAAACTTCTACCGCTTGTTGATACCTTTGCATAATGTTCGCAGATAATTCTTTGCATGGAAAAGGAATGTTGGAAATTGTGTTAGATTTCAACTTTAGAACTATGATCTTCACAAAAATTTTCAAACATTTAAATACAATAGATTTTTACATGGTTAGATAAACTTTGCAAAACTAAGATACGCAAATGATTGTAAAAAACAAAAATCAAAATAAAATTAAAAAAATATATAAGTAAAGAATTAATTTGAGTATATTCGGATACTGATGTTCGATATCAAATTGGGAATTACACATTTCACAAAACAGCAAAGCTTATAAAGGGACTGTAAAACTAGGAATATCTAATAATTCTACGTAGATTTTGTCTCCAACGTTTGAGAACAAAGCTAGGAAAACCATTTGAAAATTTAAATGATTTTTTGCATTGCTGAAGAACATTTGGAGCAGCAATATTTATCTTAAAATTTACTAAAAAACTTTCTAAAAATAAAGGAGCGATTGGAAGCAAGATAAAGCAGAAAACGACATTCTTTAAAGAATGGCTTATTACAACTCCAACGTTTGAGAACAAAGCTAAGAAAAACCATTTGAGAATTTAAATGATTTTTTGCATTGCTGAAGAACATTTGGAGCAGCAATATTTATCTTAAAATTTACTAAAAAAAATTCCAAAAATAAAGGAGCGATTGGAAGCAAGATAAAGCAGAAAACGACATTCTTTAAAGAATGGCTTATTACAAGTCCCTTTAGATATTAGGATACACTTGGAGTGTTCTAAATAAATGAAAATGTTTGGAAAATTTAATGCTGTGAAGCCTCACTTAGGCGTACACTCACCGTGGAGCGTACGTCTGCTGTGGGTGGTCTGTTAGGAGAGGGTTCGCTGTACCAACTTGAGCATTATAAACAGCTCAGAGAGAAGAGCGAATTTTTTGCGCTCTTTATTTGTAAAACCCCTACCGTTGCGAATACATTGTTAGCATCATCTGTTTAAATTGGTTTGCCTTGCCTTGTCTGCCGCAGATATGCGCACAATACCTTGATTTCATCAATGCATTCCCGTCGTTAAAGTATGATTGGAATTATTAGTGGGAGGCTTGGTTAGGTTATGATATGCGATATGCATAACGAGATGCAAACAATCACACATATATGTATATATATATATATATATATATATATATATATATATCATATCCCCCATTGTGTGCCCTTTGAGTGACAGAGCCAAACCACAAATTAATTACAAAGCTTATTCAAACAGTTATTGACCATAATTCATTAACCATACCAACAGCCAAGTAGTGACAAAACAACAACGACGACACCCCACCAGACCATTTTCATGCAGACCAAAAACATTCCGCGACTCTGCTTGGTGTGCAATAACAACCGCTTTTGGGGGGAAGGGGAGGAGGAAAGTAGTTAAAAGTAAGATTCTTGAGAATAATAACAATTTGATATTCAACCACAAAGCGAATGCGAAGAAAACGTTGGTTAGGGTTATAAAACCGATACTTGCTTGTCTGCCTCGACGCTCGGTCCGTTTTCACATTATTACTTTAATGTTTTCTTTTTTCGTTGTGTTTTGTTCATATTTGATATTGCAAATTATAGGACATTAAATTGGTGTAACAGAATTGTGGTTCTGTTAGTGGCAGATTCCACTGTCCGCCCTTTCTTTGCTTGCTGTCATCCTATAAATTTTTGACCACAAACTTTAACAGTTAAGATGTACAGTTTTTTTGCTTCATAAAGTTAATTTTAACTGCTTTCTTACACATTTTATTGCATTGTTGTGTAAGCGAGTGTGCTATTCTGCACTGAATGTTGCAACAATTAACCCTTATGCATATAAAAATATTAATTATGTAACTAAAGTAAAGAGTCAAACACCAGCTGTGCTGCGCGCCATTTAAAAGGGGTCAAGAAAAAGGCTCAACCTTTTTGTTTTTATACATATTACGGTATATTTGTGCTGAAATATTTATGAATTTCTGGTTATGAATCTTGCACTAGGACACACAGAAGTCTTCTAATGTCTCCAGCTTCTGATTTGCAATATCAATGAACAGTTATAGAATATGGGTTTTTATCTTTAGCCTGTAGTGAAAAGCTAAACTGACAGTAAAAATCTAGTGCAATGCTGGTGATTCAATGATGACCAGTTCGCTGCATGTTAGTAAATCATCAGCAATGGAAAAAATTAAAATCTTAACCCTCTCATCATCGATTTATTGTCTTAATTTTTAGCACTCCACTCTTGAGTTGTATTTTTATATGGAAAGCAAGGCTCGAATCGTGCTTCTTCGAACGAGAATTTCTGATGAACTAGTATTTAACTAGTATGGAACTGGTGCATTGCCTAACAAATAGCACTTCATATGACATCACCATTGTAGAAATATGAAAATTTGATTGGGGATGAGGTTGTGAAAATTTGTAAAATAATAGAATTTTTTTAACACTCAAAAGCTAAAGCAGATGTCGGATATTAATTTGAGAGCTACATTTTTAATATATCTATTTTTTTATAATTTTGGTTGATATATGTATATTAAAATCATCTTTCAAGTTCTGGATAATATTGGTAGACATTTTTGTATATTACCGGATTACCGAATTACCGTAAAGTGGGGCTACATATTTTAACTTGTTTCGCGAAAGTATAGTGCTGCTGCTGAATTTTTAGGTTTTCTTTTATTACCGTTGTTATAGAGAGGCAGTATTTAAAAATGGATAACAAAATTGATGACCTGGATGAAGCTATGGGTTCAGCTCGAGGCGGGATGTCTACAAAAAATTATGTGAAAATAGAAGTAAAATAAAAAGGACCCGGAAAATTGTAATATATATATAGTTGGCGCTTTGTAACCACTTAAAAGCTTTTCGGCCGAGCTCATTCTCAAATTTGTGGTTTTGCGTTTTAATCTTTTTCCAGTTTATCATAAGCCCCTTCCGAATCGAATACTTTCGAAACTGGAGTGCTTTCATTCATTCGGACGACATGAGCTAACCAGCGTAGCCGCTATCTTTTTTTTCGCTGAACCATATCAATATAATCAAATAGCTCATATCGTTCCATCGTATGCCGTATTCACCGTTGCCAATGCGCAAAGGACTATAAATTGTTCGCCAAAGATTTCTCTTGAAGACTACCAAAGCAGACTCTTCAGATGTTGACATCGAGCACGGTGTCGAGGGACTTGTAGAGTTTGGTTTTTGTTCTTCGAGAGAGGACTTTACTTTCCAATTGCCTACTATGTCCAAAGTAGCACCAGCCGAATTTTATACATACATACATCTATTTATAATTATTATTTTCTTTAGTTAATTATGTATTTTTGCTGCCCCAAACTATAAAGCACAGTAGCTAGCAGCCTGTGAGTGGTAGAAGTTAAGCAAAAGATGCTGAATAAATAAATCAATTTTGTTTTTTTTTTTTTTACCGCAAGCATTTCTCCGTGTAGTGTATAAAACTAACTAATAGCAAACGGCAAAAAAAGCAACAACTCTTACAATTTTGCTTAAGTGCTTGTTTGACAGACCAACTTTTGTGGGCACATCGTGGCCTAGTCCTATTAAATATTGCTACGTATACGCCATGGTGACCATTAAAGTCATGCGCTAGGTACATACATACTAGCACATGCGGCTGAAGGTTGTCAGTATGTTCACGCACACTAACGCATACACAGGCAATATATTTTTAATTTGTAGGGGCATAAATGACACTTTTATTGGTAAAGTTGAGTGTAACATTTATACCGCATAATATTTATTATACCTAAATACTTACATATGTATGGTAAATATGGTACATATGCATTTAGCGTCGTACCACAAGTTTCACGATTGGCTACATTGCCTGCTGCAGGCAGTGCATGTGTATGTGTATACTTGTTTTTACATTATTTGTGTGTACTTTTCAAGAATTTACGGCGAAGACGAAGAAGTTTAGTAAACGAGTCTATGTGTGTGCATGTGTTTTTCTGCTCTGTGTGTGTGTGTGTGTTAGCCTGTGATTTGTCGTTATGTTATTAATAAAGTTTTATTTTTTTTTCTCTCTTCTTTTCTTTTTTTTCGCTTCTCCTCTGCTTACAGGCATTGCTACATACTCACGATGTTGTTGCACGAGACGTTTACGGCGAAGAGGCATTACGCGTTACGCCACCGCCAATGGCACCATATATTAATGGCGATGAAATCGATAATGTGGACAATGGCGAATTGCAGCATGTAACCAGAGTACGTTTGGTGCAATTCCAGAAAAACACCGATGAACCAATGGTGAGTAGCTGGAAAGAGAGAGAGAGGCGATACGAATACTTGAGTATCGTCGCCATTTAATAAGCATACGTATGTGTATGCAAGCACATATGTTTTTACCTCATATATATATATGAATTTGTATATATGTACATATGCATTAAACAGTTATGAACCATTCAGCACTAATAATAATAATTGTATAATTTCCTTTAAGGGCATAACGTTAAAAATGACCGAAGATGGACGCTGTATTGTCGCCAGAATAATGCATGGCGGCATGATACATCGTCAGGCAACGCTGCATGTTGGCGATGAGATACGGGAAATTAATGGTCAGCCTGTGCAACATCAATCTGTGGGCCAATTGCAACGGATGCTGGTAAGTGCAGACATTTAATGTACTTATATAAGAGCGTAGCTGTGTGTATTAGAGTGTGCGATTTTTTTAAAGTTAACTGGGAAATTTTTTCTATTTTTTTATATATTATATATATAAATATTATTAATATTTCCATATTGTTTTAGTTAAACTTTAAATAAAATTTTCATAATACGAATTCAATATAAATAATAATTCCAATAACAATTAGAATCTAAATTTTGCTTGTAAAGTAACTGCAAATGAAATATATCGCCATTAACTGCTATTTTAAAATTGATTAGTTTAACTACAAATTTTTAATTCGACAATGCGTATACGCAACTTTATTAGTTTATTTTACTTGTGGTATAATGTACACGTTTCACCGTATACTAACAATAGGAAGCCAATTTCCGTACGGAGTTAATTTCAATGCAAAAACTAAAAGCAATACAATTTAAATTAAATTAATATTAAGAATAAAAATAAGTTTTAAGTAAACATGCGTTAACGAGAAAACACCTCATGGACCGAATTTCCATCTGCGAATCGCTACTGAATCATAACAAGATCGTCCCATGATGACTGCTTATGAAAAGTCGACTACTTTAAGCAAGGTCAAGTGGAAACAGACGAGGTGGAAGGGCATTGAGCCGGCAAAAACGGTATCGGTTTTGTTGTGTGTTTGGTGCGTTTGGCAAAGAATTATCCACTATGAGCCGCTCGGACCTTGACCGTCTGAAGGACGAAAATTGTGCTTCATTAAGACAACGCGAGACCACACGCATCAGTAGAGACTCACGGAAGACCTCCGAGAGGTGCATCTCGCATTTGTTCCTGTTTATGATGAATTATTTGGCTGAAGGCTTATATTTAGGCTCTAGAGAAGCCTGTGAAAATCGAATATCACAAGTTTTTGCCAATAGCGATAAGAATTTCTATGAGATAAACATAATGACATCACAACTGTAAAATGGCAAAATGTTATCGAGCAAAACGGTGCATATTTGACATAAATCGGGTAGTTCTAACTATGCTAAATAAAGTCTTCAATTAACGCAAAAATTATGTATGACATCTTACTTGGCCAATATATATCAGCTCCTCACTGATAAAATTAATGTGAATATTTTTTTAGTCTTAGGTAGATTTTTACAATAATGTAATAAATTTTAAAAGTATAAAAAAAGATAATTACTTAAAAAAAAAATAGATATTAAAAAGAAAAATAAGAATGTGCAAAGTTCAGCGGAGCGTATACGTAACGGAAAAAATCTCGCTTGTAAAATAAAGTACAAGAGTAGTGATGAATAATTTTTAAGTTTCAGTTGTAAGCAAAAAAATTTCAAAGTAGTATATATGTATATATATATATGAAAATTATATAAGTAACAGAAGTAGCTTATAAAACGCAGTCCAAGTGTGTAGCGTTCAAGGAATTGAATTAGTAAATTTTCAATTAAATTCAAGCAATGGTTTTAAGGAATGTGTATTTTGCTTAAAAATGTTAACTTATATCATAAAGAAATAATAATACGTAAATAAATTTAGTTATATTTTTAGATAAGTACAGCATACCAAAATTGAATACAAATATGAGAATCATGCGCTCTTCGATTTTAGGTTTTATTTCAAACTAACTTGGTATTAAAGCTAGCAAATCATTTTCAAATCGCGCACACCCTAACGTACACATATATACTATGTATATATAAAATATTTACAATTACTTTCTGTCACTGTACCCGACGATAATGCTTGAATAAATCGTAATAATGAGTTCTCATTTGTTTACCTTCATTTTCCTCCACTCTTTTCTCATATTGTGTTTATTTTCTTTTTACAGCGTGAAGCGCGTGGTTCGGTTACCTTTAAAATAGTTCCTTCTTATAGAAGTGCTCCACCACCCTGTGAGGTATGTATAATTATTATTGACAATTTAAAAAGTGTAATAATTTTAAAAATTGCGCTGCTTTAGCCGTTACTATTACTTTTAGTTTAGCACATATAAAATTGAAAAAAAAAATAATAATAATTATTATAAAAATAATTAAAAATAATTTAAAAATATATATGGACACCCAACAAGCGAGTCTCCTCAACACCTAGAAATTATAATATTTAAGCGCACTAAAAATTTAATCCAATAATTTTACGATAATTAGTTTGCGCACCAACTCATGTTTTCATTTAGTTGATCAAAAATAAGCGGTTTAATTGTATTTTTTATTTCAACTTTTTACGTAACTATTTCATTCTAATTTTCGGCAATGAATCTCTTCTCAATTGTAGTTGATTTCTCATAATACATACATAAGTTTCTCATACTATTTTCCATTAACATTACTTTTATACATTTCTACACACATATACAAATGCAGCTTTTCAGGATAAGACCAACTCCAGTACTTGTAAGTAAAATCAATCATCATTGTAGATACTATTTTGTTTCATTATTAGTAAGAAGAGGTGGAAAGAAAGAGCTATAACTAGCCATATTGACAAATGAGTATAAAAATAAAAAAAATGCTCAACAGGGCGTATACGTTACGTAACTAATTTTACCCGTGCAAATATTTGTAGTATAAAATTATATTATATATAGATATATATAGATATGTAGCATTATATGTAACTATTTTAGGTCATAAAAAAGACAATACTAAAAGCTTGAGTTTTCGATAAAAAAATATAAATAATCTCGAGTGTTTTACCTATTTATGCTTCCTATAAATACCATCAATGCTTGTTCGTATTCTAAAACCCAGTGAACGAATATCAAAGTGGCTTAGACCAATCCAGTGAACAAATAGACAATCAAAAACGTGTCAATTTCCTAAAAAATCAAGAAAAAGTTTGGCGTTGGAAAGGTTAAGTGACTTCATAGAACAAAAAGTATGACCAATGAATTCTTATGCAAATAATTTGTATTGTTTGGTAAGGAACTTTGTATCGGCACGATATTATACAATATTACTTGGTTGAAAGTATCTCAAAAATTAATTGCCTAATAAAAATGAAGCCTCAATTCCATAATAAATGAGTTAGTAAATACGATACGATCCCAGTGAACCTAATTACAAAAGCAGCATTTGTGCATTATAACTCTGAGAAATGTTATTTTTTCGCCGGTGTTAATGGTGATTTTTTAAGAGCTGTAAAAAATGAGCTAGAAAATAAAAATCACATACAATTCAGAAAAATGCATGAAATCATAATTTGAATCGATAGTACGGTCCATATAATTTAATGCTTGAGGTGTATGTCATGCACATGTTGACCGTGACTGCACCTCAAATCCATCCAAAGTCCATCCGCTTAGTCCAATTTTGCCAAACACCAAGATTTCGGCCAGTATCTCACGAATGAACGCTTCAATGTTGTCCTCCAATGCGTCAATTGAAGCGAGCTTGTCTGTATATACATTAGATTTGACTTAGCCCCGCAAAAAATAGTCTGAAGGCGTTAGATCGCACAATCTAGGCGAACGTGAAATAAAATATTCACCGAACTCGCTTCTCAATAAGTCAATTGCTATGCGTGCTGTGTGGCATGTGGCACTGTCTTGTTGAAACCACATGTCATGCAGGTCTAGCTCTTGCGTTTTGCGCAAAAAAAAAGTTCGATATCGATTCGGTAGCGCTCACCATAAACAGTTACGTTACGATTCGCATCATCTTTGAAGGAGTAGTGTCCAATGATGCCACCAGCCCATAACCCTCACCAAGCTGTGACTTTTTCTGGATGCATTGGTAGCTTGCAATGCTTCTGGCTGATCTTCACTCCAAAATCGACAATTCTGCTTATACACCCACACATTAAGCCAAAAAGGGACGAAGCTCGCTGAACACAATTTTTTTTATTTGAACTTTCTTAACAACTCACGGGTTTTGAGAATGATATTCAATAATTTGCAAGCGTTGTTCGTTTGTAAGACGAGCCGTGGTTAAATTATAGACCAAACAGAAGATATCTGACGGTGATACAAAACACGAACGTGCATCAGCTGTTTAAACCAGTGTTGACAAAAAGATAATAGCTAAAAAATTTCTTTTTATTTTAATGGTAGGCAAGAGTGTTGCCCGAGTGGGCTTAGGGATAATTACGACATTATTTTGATGCAGAATCATAAGGCCTTAATGAAACTCAAATTAATGAAACTATTTATTTCCGATATGCTTTTTGTTTGTTGTGGTCGAATGTGAGAGATAGCTGGGTACTCATAGTGAAAATTAACAAATTTTTCATTTTACCAATCTTACTCGCTGTTGCGGTAATACTAATACTGCAATGGGTCTATAGTTCTAGCGCCAAAATTGTTCCATTATCATAGAACACTTTGATATGAATTTTCATCTATTCCGAGCTTCTCGTTGAAACAGTTATTGTATGGTATTGATTCCGCTTCGTATTCGTCGGCAGATACTGCCAACATGGCCAACTTGTCAGCTTTTGCGTTAGCTTTACATTGCTATAGCCGTAAGCCGCCGAGATTGTGAAGATATTGAATTGATTTCTCAGCAAGCGCAAAACCTTCTTCGGATTCTCGATGACGCTGAGTCAGAGTTCTATATGGTTGATTTCTAAAAAGTTGTATTTTCGCTTGGAATATGCTTGAGTTTGTAAAAGTGTAGATTGAGATAGAGATGTTTATATCCTTGAAGCATGCTGCCGCCACCACCACGAAGTCCCTTTGGACGCTTTGGTATAAAACGCAATGATGTCTTTTCCTACTAGACTGATAGGAAAATATCACATCTGGAGATTATCCTCACCTGAATGCAGCTATTGAAATCCAACTTTGGGTGAATATAGTATGTGGTTTTGAGTGTTGTGAGCTGATTCTGCTACGTCCATAATGCACAAATGAATTTTGTTATTGTTTTTAATAACAGATAATTTTCTTTGCTCAACTTTACGGTCGCCATGTTTCGTTAAAGCCTTCAAAAAGTGTTCACTTCTTCAACTTCACCGCCCTAAATTATAGCCAACCTCACAGTTTGAAGGTTATACCAATAATAACGCTCCTTTTTTAGATGATTTCCATTATAATTGTAAATATATTTACAATTTACCTTTGTTTCATATTCCATTCTCTTAGTGCGGTTGTAAATACTGTGAGTGATGTTGCAACTACACTGTTAAGCGTATATATCTGACATGACTTAATAGCTCCTGTAACCCACGCGCCGGCTACTCTTTGTATTCCATTTTATTTCCTGCTGTAGTATGGTTTTTCTAATGCAGACTACCAATTCAGTGGTGGCTCCATACGTAAGAATTTGTCTCATCACTCTTTTTTTTTTAATGAAAATTTATAAACAAAATTAAATTACAAAAAAAAAAGAAATATAAAAACCTGATCAAAAAATGACTCAAGTAAAATACAATACCAAATATAACTGTGCCCTGCTTCATGCTTTTACACCAAAATTTTCACCTTCACCCACAATTCTTTACAAAGTTTTAATGCTTAGCCTCAATACAATCGCTGTAGCAATATTTGGCAGCATTAAGTGGGTGTAAAAAGATCAAAGTGTAACTAGCAGTGTATAGCATAATGTTGCAAAGCAACCTGAATCGACTAACCAACCAACCAACTCACCAACCCACCCATCAACCAACCAAATTTAATTTTCATCTTCTTTTCCACAACTTATTTGCAGATATTTGTGCGTGCACAATTCGATTATAATCCTTTAGATGATGAGCTTATACCGTGTGCCCAAGCAGGCATCGCATTCCAAGTCGGCGATATTTTACAGGTGAGTACACACAAGAACACGCCAAACTACCCATGTATGTTTGTGTGTCGGTGTAAATTAATCAGCTAACGTCACATAGTAATTATGCCCAACTACACATTTTTGTTGTAAGTTAACAAAATTTGGGCATCTTTGGCATGTCGAACGCGTGCTGCTTAGTATTTAATGTCTGTGATATCAAGCGCATAATGCGCTGTTACACTTAATAGAATACCGTTTATTTCGAACACCTATTAATGGTGTAAATATCTTTATTAATACTCTATCGATGTGTCTATGATGAATGAATCGCTGTCATTAACTGTCATTAATCTAATTTTCAAAGATTATAAGCAAAGATGACCATCATTGGTGGCAGGCCCGCTTGGATACAGTGGGTGGTTCGGCCGGTTTGATACCGTCACCGGAGTTGCAGGAATGGCGTATTGCCTGTAATGTTGCGGATAAGACCAAACAGGAGCAAGGTGAGTGAAGGAATGTGTAAAGTAATTTATGAAAAACCAATACACACAAATAGACACTGCTCTATGTATCTCTCTATTTGAGGTATGTACTTATGTACATATGTATGTTCGATGCTGCCTCGGATGTGAGGGTTTTACATGTAATTGGTTGTTAATTGTAAAATTTAACCACAAATATATTATAAGCATAAGTATACTCGTATTTACCTATCTATATGTGTATGTATAATGTATTTCATGTATGTATTGTATATTAAAAATGTATGTACTGTAGTTGGAAACGTATTTGAACTCCATTTGATTTATTTTATCTTAACCCTTGTGTGTGTTAAATTCAATATTTTTTAATTTATTTATTTTTATTCATCTTTTTTTAAAATTTCATATATATTTTTTTTATTTTATTATTTTGTTTTGCCTTATTTTAACATATTTTTCTTTAATCTACATATATATGCATGTAAAAAACTTTGTCCTGAAGCCTAAGCCACTAATCGTAGACAGCACAAAATGGAGAGATGTCTTCTGCGAATAAGAATTGATTTTCTGGAAATGTGGTTCAAAGCGAATTTATAGAAAGTGAAGTTGTCACTTGATGTGATTGCTTGTTCTTCCTTTAATTTCCGCAAATTACAAAAACAAAATACATGAGAAATAGGTTTTGAAATTTCGAACAAAATTCCTTCGTGTGAATTTCGTCTTTGGTATTTCGATTTTATAATTGTTTTGTTTATGTATTGTTGCTACTACCGTGTGTAAATTTGCCTTGGATGTGGATCTTAGACCGACTCATTCGAAACTATTAAATTTATTTTTAAATTTTTCGATCTATGTAAACGGAATTGGATACATAGATTGCTCTTTGCTTAGATTGACAACGAAAAGTTGACCTGGGGCAGTTTTATTCGAAAAAAGTTCTTTTATCGTTTGTTTTTCAGAAAATTTGGTACTGAGGTAGCTTTGGGCCTAAATAATTATGACGAACACTTCCGGGAAACGGTCCTGGGATCGATTCGATGGTCCGTTAGGTTGTCTTTTGTCAAAGTAGATAGGAAAATTTTTCTATTTGGCTGTGAACGCAGTGTCTAACTAATTGAAAAAATATCGCATTGGTGGTTTTGTTGGCCCTTCTTTCTTAAAATTTAAAATTAATTTTTATTGCTCGATTTTATTGTAATTAAGAACAAAGAGAGCTCCTTGCAGAAAACCTGCATTTCTTTTTCATACGCTTTAAATAAAGCCAAAACCCATAAAAAATCTCAAATTCTAAAGTCGCTGGCAAACTTTAGTATTACATTTTCTTTCATTTTATTTCCTTCTGTTCTATTCTATTTAATTTTATTTTATTATAGTTTTATTTATTTTTTTCATTTGATTTCTAGATTAATTTCTATCTGATTTATTCTATTTTATTTACATTAATTTTATTTTTTTATCTATTCTTTTTTGTTTAATTTTATTATATTGTATTTTTTTGTTATATTTTAATTATATTATTTTTTTTAATCTTTGCTTTTTTATTTTATTAATTTTTTTTAGTTGATACCATTTTATTTTGTATTATTTATTTATTTCCTTTTCTTCAATTTTATTTTCCATTATGCTTTTTCCGTATTTCATTATTATTTATTTACTTACTTTTTTCATTATGCTTTATTCATAACTTTTTTCTATTCTTTTATTACTTTTTATATAATTATATTTTATTGTGTTTTATTTAACTTCGCCTATTTGTTTTTTTTTTTCATTTCTCTATATCTTGGTTATTTCCAGTATATCTTTATATTTCTTTAAATTATTTTATTTTTATTTCATTCTAGATTTTGTTTATTTTTTCATTTTATTTTATTTTTTTCAATTAATGCTTTTATTATATTTTTTTTATATATTTGTTTGACTTTTTTTTCTTGCATTTAATTTGAAGATATTTTATTTTAAATTATTTTATTTTGTTTTATTCTATTTTGTATATTTTTTTCCTCATTTCATCATAGTTTATTTTATTTTATTCTAATTTTTAATTTAAATTCTTTGGTCTTAAATTTTCTTGTTGTTTTGTTTATTAAATTACATATGTTACATTGCCCATTTACTGCCCTTAAAGTTTTGTTTTCAATCACCAAAAGCTCAAAAAGTGCTCAATTTATGTCATTGGCTAAATTAAATTTAGTAATTATGCACATAACTACATACCCAGAATTGCTCATGCAAAATGTCAGCGGGTCGAGGCAAACTTTTACATATATATTATTTGGGGCTTGTAATCGCTGCAGCAGTTTTCGGCCAAGCTCCTCCGTCAATCTGTGGTTTTGCGTCTTGATGTTTTTTCCAACGAATAGAGGGACCTTCAGTTTATACTAGGCAATTAGACAAATTAATTTTCTATAATTTCTGGGTATTGGTCGAACCATGACTCGAACCCTCGGCTATCACAGTCGCCGCTAGTAAAGAAAAGACAGCAAAAAAAATATTAATGATGGTTATGCATGCGCAAAACACATTCAATTAAAACAAAGTAAACATGACTATGCAAATTGGTATCGAAGTTGTTGTAAAAACATTCAATGCCACTCATTATTTTGCATTTATTTTGGTGCTTTTTATTTAAATTTAATTTTTTTATATACTTTTTCTTCCTTTGTTTTCATTTAATTTGTAATGTAATATAAATGTACTTATGTATGCCATGTATTGTATGTATGTATGTATAGTAAATCATGCCTACTCTTAGTTAAACTTGCCAATTGTGTTGTCGTTGTTGTGATTGTCTCCCCTCTCTTAAACGTCATACTAATAACTCATATATATATGCATATATTTATATATCCAAACGATATTGAACTCATTTTTAATGATGTCTCATGTGATATTGTGATACATACAAAAATATCTATAAACAATATCTTTGATAATATAAAATAATAATGATGATGATGATAATGATGATTTTCATGCTGAATAATATACAAAATAAATAAAATAAAACGCATATTAACCATAATGATATAAAAAATGAAACAGGAGAAGGTGCCGCTGGCTGTTCAGCCCACGCTGATGGGTGTGATGGATCGACAGGTAGTTACCGTATACATCGTATACCCACTTGCAATCACAACTAATCCCTAAATGAATAGTTTTCTTAAACACCAAAATCACCATTACCACCACCACCACTACCACTACTAGTAAAAGTCACTCGAAACTCACGTGCTGTATGAGCAAAGTAAATTAAATCCACACAAACTCACACACATACGCACATTTAACAAATAGTTGTTTGAGAAGTAAATTTAGTTGAAAATCAATTATTTTTAAAGGAATTTAATAAAATACCCACAAACATATACACAGTTCTTGTTCATTTGTTTTTGTGGCTCTCTGATCTAAAGCCGATTAAGCTTTGTGCATAGTTTTTAGTAGATATAAAAATTCAGTATAAACAAGCTTTAACTTTTGTTGTAAATTTCGTTCTGGCATCCACCCAAACTTCCCCCCAAAACAGATATGGACAGTGAAATTAATAGGTTTTAGCAGATTTTCGCCGAAAAATATATCTACAATTGTGTTGAATGATATCAAAATTTTCCATCCTTTGCACAAACCACTACACCAATCAGTCATGTGAATATATACATAGAATATGTTTAATGTACATTTATTTATGTAGATAAGTTGCTTTGTAAAATATTGCGCAATTTAATGGTGTTTCGGTTTGAAGCGATTTCATTCCCATTCAAGCTCAATTGAAATCCATCCCATTTTCATTTAGCTCAATTATAGCTCATTTTCACTGTATATATACGCATACGCTCATACTTATTCAGATTTCATACAACAAATATTGTGACTACCCAATCAATTGTCCTGTCATACGATAATTATTATTTTGAGTATATAGTGCCAATTTTATTAGATATATATATATAGCTGTATATATGTAATATGTAAGTTTGGTGCATTTAAATATTTTAAGTAAATTTTATGAAAATATTTTTGAAAATATGAAATATTCATTTATCACAAAAATATATATTAAATTTAATACTGCCACGGAACACATAGAGTTAATATGAACAAAAGATAATAAATTATTTTTTTTATAATTTTAATTCTTTGTTAAAAGTGAATTATTTTTTCTCGACATTCATTGCAATTCTTCAAAGATTCTTTGGAACGAATCAACAATACAATATTGTCCTTTTAGTTAAAAATTTTGTTGCACAATCTATTTAATTTAAATCGTTTAATAAAAATATAACAAAATGAATATGAAAAAATTTATAAAACTATAAATAAATTTAATAAAATAAAATGAAAAAAAAAACATTATTAAATTAAAGTAAAATTAAATAGACTGAGAAATAGAAACTAAAATGAGATGAAAGTGTTTTAAGAATATGGTTGAAATAAAATAAGATAAAAATGTAAAATAAAATAAAATAAAAAATAAAATAAAACAAAATAAAATAAAAAAAAATAAAATAAAAAAAATAAAATAAAAAATTATAAAATTTAAATAAAAAATAATAAAATTAAACAAAAAATAAAATAAAATAAAAAATATTAAAATAATAAAATAAAATAAAAAATAAAATAATTAATAATAAAATAAAATAAATAATAATAATAAAATAAAATAAAAAATAATAAAATTAAACATAAAATAAAAGAATAAGTAATAAAATAAAATAAAAAATAATAAAATAATTTTAAAAAATAATGAAACAAAATAAAAAATAATAAAATAAAATAAAAAATAATTAAATAAAAAATTATAAAATTAAAATAAAAAATAATAAATTAAAATAAAAAATATTTAAATAATTTTAACAAATAATAAAATTAAATAAAAAATTTAATAATTAATAATAAAATAAAATAAATAATAATAATAAAATAACATAAAAAATAATGAAATAAATTAAAAAATAATAAAATTAAACATAAAATAACATAAAAAATAATGAAATAAATTTAAAAATAATAAAACAAAATAAAATAAAATAAAAAATAATAAAATTGTTTTAAAAAATAATGAAACAAAATAAAAAATAATAAAATAGAATGAAAAATAATAAAATAAAAAATGATAAAATAAAAAATAACAAAATAAAACAAATGATAAAATAAAAAATAATGAAATAAAAAATAACAAAATGAAATAAAAAATAAAATACCAATTAAATTAACGAACATGCCCAATTTTAACTGTTACAGCCAATCATGCCCAATTTCGGTTTCATTTCGCTAATTTTCATGTAGAAGATGCTTCGCGGAGTGGAAGTCCAATTGTCGATAAATCATGGACATTGTCGAGTCCGAGTCTTCTGATTTTCAGTGTTAATATTTATTTGTGTGTAGAATACCAAATTTCACGCTCTCAGGTGACACTTTATTCTGAAGAATCGATTATACATATGCTATCTATATGTATGGTCGAACGATTTGGCCGGTTCTGACAAATGATCATCATGGTATAAAAATACAGCTGCGTGCGAAGTTTGTTTGAAATATCTCAAAAACGGACGAACATGGCCAAATCAACTCAGCTCGTTGTTCTGATCGGATCGGTATAAATTTTGTTGTTAATTCTATAAAAAATTTAATTATATAATTTATACATTTTTTTTTTGATAAAATAATTTATTTTGGTGTTGGTCTGGCAACAATGTCGCTGAGATTGTTCCGCAACATAAGATATTATGTTTTTGATGTTCAAAAACATTTCAGTAATGTATTATATGTAACTACTGACTTTAGGTCCACTATTACTTTACTTTAAAATATGGAATATTTGATATTCGGCTTCATTGAATGCGAAACTTAATGTTTTGCTGGCTGCTTAAAACAAAAGCATGAGTGAGAGCATGAACAATAATCGCTACTCTTTGTTTTTTCAGCATGAAAACTTAATTGTTGATTGGGAAATACACAAACTCCTCGCTTTTTAAATTTTTTCGAATTACAATCATCATAATTTTGAAATATTATCATGTTTCATCCTCTTCATTTCTCTCTCTCTCTCCCTCTCATGTTCACAGTAAATTGTTCGATATTTGGGCGTAAAAAGAAACAATGTCGCGACAAATATTTAGCTAAACACAATGCCATATTTGACAACTTGGATGTGGTGACATACGAGGAGGTTGTAAAAGTGCCAGGTAATTGCAAAATTTTCAGCGAATTTTTCATACTAAATGTATGTAACAAGCAACTGTATTTCATAATTTCTCATTAGTCGGTGATCCAAACTTTCAACGGAAAACGTTGGTTTTGCTTGGTGCGCATGGTGTGGGTCGCCGTCACATTAAGAATACACTAATTTCCAAGTATCCCGATAAATATGCATACCCCATACCACGTGAGTATTACAGATGTAAATATGTATGTATGTACACGCATACATGTACATGACTGAACAAAATGAATTTATGTATATACACATATGAATTCATTGTAGTAATAATGTGGTATTTCTATATTTATGTATGCTCGCATGTATTGGTTTTTCAGATACAACGAGACCTGCAAAACCGGAGGAGGAGAATGGACGCAGCTATTACTTTGTTTCACATGACGAGATGATGGCCGACATAGCTGCAAATGAGTACTTGGAATATGGTGAGCATTCAATTTGCCTTTTTTTGTAGTGTATGCGATCCAAATTAGAAAAAACAAAAAATTCTATGAAAGAGTAATTCATTAATTAGTAAAAACAAGTATCTAGAAAATATGAGTTTTCCAAAATTTCAAAGTACATCTTTAGTGCTTTAATTTTTTGATGTTTATCTATAAGTTTTTAATAAAAATCCTTCTTGATTTTTCAGGTACTCATGAGGATGCCATGTATGGCACCAAACTGGACACCATACGTCGCATACACACCGAAGGTAAAATGGCCATATTGGACGTCGAACCGCAGGCGTTGAAGATTTTGCGTACAGCTGAGTTTACGCCTTATGTTGTATTCATTGCGGCGCCTTCGCTACAAAATATCGCAGATGTAAGTTGAAGGTTTTTTTTTTGTTTGTTTTTATATCCACCACCATATTACCATTAATTATTTCGCATTTCCCTTGGTACGTAGTATGATGGCAGTTTGGAGCGTTTGGCCAAAGAGTCCGATATGTTGCGTCAATTGTATGGGCATTTCTTCGATTTGACGATCGTAAACAACGACATTAGCGAGACCATTGCTACGTTAGAGGCGGCCATCGAACGTGTACACACCACACCACAATGGGTGCCAGTGTCATGGTTATACTGACAAGACAGTGAGCTTGAGTGTCCCGATTGCTTGGAGGGCTGCGACTGTGAATGGGAAGCATATGCAGCTGGTGCTCAACAACCAAATACGGGCCTCTTTTAAAGTTATTACATGCTACAACAAATATAACAACATCAACTACAACAACAGCAACAACAAAAACAACAACAGCAACAGCAGTAATGAAATGAAATTCACTCAGCATAATACTGTAAACATATATAATATATGCGCAAAACATCACTTGGAAACATCAACTTATTATAAAAAATACATGATACATATAATTATTATTATTATTGAATAATTAAAACAAAAGCAGAAAAAAGCTAAACGAATTCTGGCAAACATAAAGACATATTTACTTGCAACAGTGCACAAAGTGACACAGGCAACTTACCAACTTAGACACAGTCACACATACATACACGAAAAATACACATACTTAAAGTCTAGTACGTAGAAAAATTTATAAATGAAAATTCGGGTGCAACATTATAAGAAAACAAATAAAAATATATATATATATAGAATATAGTATAGGTATATTAAGTAAATGAAATGAAATAAAAAAATTATGCATTAAACACTTACATATATATACAAACATTCCAAGAAAAATGGAAAATTAACAAAAAGAGTTAAAGAAGTATTGGTAAATATCTTGGTATGCGCAAATGCCTACAAGGAAAATTGAAATGGGACATTGAGAAATCCGAAAAAATACTTTGTTCGTTCTCAATATACTGTTCAATAGACATGTATTGTTGTTGTGTTCCAATGTACACGTTGTTAATTTTGAAAATGACTTAAACCCGATTTTTGAAGGGTTTTTTGGAACTACTAAATATGGCTGAAGAAAAGGGACTAAATCAAAACGAATTGCAACTGTACAACTTCAAAAGTGATCATATATTTTGATTCGAAATTTCAGAGTTCCAATTCTAAATACAGCCCGCTTCAAGTGATCTTCTACACCGTATAGCTTTCCACCAAAAATTTCCTTTGAACACATTGTTTCTGAGAAAATCTTAGAAGTGATAATGCAGAAATATATATTGTACGTTGGTTATTGCTTTCACAACATTACATGTCTATTGGATAGTGCAAGGATGCGAAAACTTCAAAACTTCGTACACTTTATTTGGTACTTTGTTAAGTTTACTCAGAGCAATTGTTAACTTTTAATTTATTTAAAGACGCTTATGTAAAGTAAAAAAAAAAACAGAAAATAATATATATATACATACATATACATATATAAATATATACGTATGTACACAAACACACTTGTTAAATTGATTTAATGTAAATTTTAATTCTAGTACTATTTCTTAAAACGAACTATTTGAAATTAAGGACAAAATGATATGTGCAATGCAAGCAAATGCATACTCGTGCATGCAATTAATATTTACACAACAACAATTTTACGAGCGGGTACACAACACAATAAAACTAAAAGTATTATTAAAAAGTATTAAACAGATGCAATTAAGAGCGTTTCAAAAGTAAGAGTCACAAAACAAAATTAAGTTAATCAATTTTAAATGGCATGCAATTACATACACATATGTATAATAAAATGGAAGAAATCCAAAAAGGAAGCAAAAAATAATAATCATTAAAGCTAGAAAATAAAAATTATAAAAATAATATTTGCACTTTTTAACAAGATAATACAATATTAATGCATAATAATCAAAGTAAACAAACTTAAAGTGAGAACGAAAGAAAAAGTAAATTAAAAAACAAAACACAAAAAATTAACCAAAACATAAAAGTTTGCTGAAAGTTATATATTTAGCACAAATCAGTTTAATTCCAAGCAAAAGCAGTGAAGTGAAATTAGCACAAAAGGGAAGAAACCATACAAAGGAAGCATACATACACTCACACAAACACATAAGTAAAAAGTAAAAAAATTAAAAAGCACATAACACTCAGAGACACACACACACATATTAAATTAAATTAAATTAAACGTTAAAGCTGAGCAGCATAGTAATAAAAAAAGAATTACTAAAGTTACTGTCAACCAAAAACTACCAAAAATAAATATAAAAAAGTAACAATTAAAATAAAACAGCAAACAAATTACATTACAAAGCCGTATATATGTATGTACATACATACATAGATTAAATTAAATAAAAATTCGAAATGCGGACAGACAGGTATGAAATGAAAAGATAATCGCACGTACAAGTACACTTCATAATGTACATTAGATATGTATGTATTGTATTTGAGAAACGTTACATGGAATCGTAAGATCGTTAAAGAAATTGTAATTATTTGATTACAAATAACTCAGGTTGAATTATTTCAAAATATGTATGTGAGTGACAACAGACAGTAAACAGTAAATGTATTGAATATCTTTTTTTTCCCACAAAATAAAATAAACTAACTAACTAACGAAAAACTACTACTACTACTAACACAATGCCCCACCAGCAGCACGGAACCCTTTTCTATTAAGGCACTAACATAAATGAAGATCAAAGCAAGTACATAGTTGTATTCTTCAGCATGTTTTCTTTTTTTTTTTAACAATAGTAATTGTAAACTTCCACAAGCTTTCACCAGTCACAGGCGCACATAGTTAACCCTTGAGAGACGATCAGCGCAAAAATCTCATACGATACTTGCATAGTTTTTGTGGACTTCATTCATGCAGCGGGTATTTAAATTTTGTTATGTAAGCACAATTTACACTTACAAATGCATTACACAAATATTTTTGAAATAAAATGACGTCTCAGATAAGATATTGAAAAAACAAGCCAATTCGATTTCAATTTTTTTTTGTATTGCAGTAAATTTCTTACATTGTTTTTGAGCAACATATAATATTAATTCTAATTGGAAATCTAAAAATAATTACTAACTAATTATTCAAAGTCTTTATTTTACTTTTTCTGATTTTTTAAATATATAGCTTTTAAATTAAAATATAAAAAAAAAAAAATTCTAAAAATACATTTACTTAAATCAAACGAGGAAAAAATAATGATTCCATTTGCATTTTTTTTTTAAATTTAAATTATATTTCTTAAATTAAAGTAAAATACGCTTTCATTTGCATTTTTCGAAAGTTTTAAATTAATTTAAAAGAAGTTTAAAAAAATTTATGTTTCCAAAAATACATTTTCTTAAATTAAAATTAAAAAATTTTGCACAACTACTTTACGAAATAAAAATAAAAAAAAATTGTTTTTAGCCAATTTATCTCTGAAAATGGCTTTATATTTTTAAAGCACGTTAGTTGCTCTACTTTTATAAAAATCTAAAAATTTTAGTGATTTTTTTTTTACTTTTATTACGTTTTTTGACAGTTTTTCTAACACGAAAGATAATAAAATAAAAAGAAATCAGCTTCTCACGAGCATCATTAAAATTTGAAACATTTTTTATTGGTATTTTTGAACACACGCGCCACTATTAATAACTAAATAATTTATCAAAAAATAGTTAAATGTAGAATACTAATGAATTAATAAATAATTTGAGACGTAAGCAATTAGAACTGCCAATGTCAATTGAATCACCCGCTTATAATTCAACATATTCATTTTTAGTTTTGCGACACAAACCTGTAATCGTGAAATTGTGTGAAAATTTGACTACTAGAAGTCAATAAATTACATCAAACTCAAGCATTTCGTAAAGGATATTTATTTTTGAGATGAACTTTTTTTCAACATTCATTTATCATTTCACACCAACGCGCACATACCTACATAAATATATATGAACTACTAAGCCAAACAATCAATCAACTTAAATGTGAGTAAACTCATTTGTATACCTTGCACACACACTACCATACCAACACGCATACATACTTACTAAACATACAGACGAATATTTACTGAATTTCTGAGCTTATTTTGTAGTTTTTTGAAAGAAGAAAAATATGTAAAATTTTGTAATGTATCTTTAAGATTCTATGGTTTCAAGGGGTTGATGATTGTAATCGAATATTTCAGCAAACTTTAATGGAAAATTAATCACATCAAATCGATGGGTGGTATTACTATTTTATATTGGTCACACTTACATACTCGTATGTATGTAAATATATGGGCTAATATGAAAATTTTTCACCATCATTACAAATGGTAACTGTACTTCACACTACTATATACATATATGAGATGAGTTAATTTCTAAAATTAGCCAAACAAAAACAAAAAAGAAACGTTAAGTACACTTTCTCACTTAGAATGTTACTTACGAGAAAAAAAGGTGAATATGTGTTAGTGAAACACTCACTGCAAAATAAGTAAACATACAAAAACAACTACTTTGAAAACTAAAATGAAAAATAAAAAAATATCGAAAATAAATCAAATTAATTAAAATAGGTGGAAAAACATTAAAAATTTACTATAAAGTGGATGAAAAATTTAAAAAAAACACTGTTGCCAAACTAAAGTAAAATTGCTAAACAAAAGACAAAACAAAAAACAAAAACGTTTTACTAAAAATAAATTAGATTACAATTAGACTTAAATAGACTACTACTTACTATAGACATAGACTAGGAGATGTCTGGGTATTCAAGCGAGTTGGGTGTACCACAAACTCATTTCTTCATTTCAAATTTCGCGCTAAGCTTTGTGCAATATATTTATTAAAATCTGATTGTTTTTGTTGATATTTGTTTTTTTTTTATGTATTAATAGTGATTTGTAAATTCTCTCCTTACTTCTTTTAACTATATCTTCCACCACCCCAGCGCCCACACTTGGCCAAAATACTTTGCCTCACAGCAATGAAATGCAGCGTAATTAATCTTTGTTTACTTTAGAGCGCGCTGTTCGTAGTTAAATTATGTACATATGAGTTGCAAAATGTGAGTAAAACAAATTTATGCTCAATAACGGTACTTAAATTAAGAAAAAGTAGGTTTTCATTGAAAAACAGCAAAAAAGATAAGAAATTAAAATTTAAACGAAAATAATGCTAACACAAAACTTACCAAAAAACACTATTAGCAACATTTACAAAATTTAAAAATTCAATGAAATTCACTGTTTCGAAAATCAAAATTATACATTCAAACATACATAAATGAAATTGTTTTGCATACGAAAAGCATGCAACACTTTTCTCCCTTTTTGAGTGAAATTCATCACAACTTATCGGAATGCAATTAAAAAAAAAAAATAAAAAAAATGAAAAAATGTATATTCAATGAAATAAACATACATATAAACGTGTAAAATATAATATAAATATTCACGACAAAATCGTAATCACAATACGATCGTTTAGTCGTTATTAGTATTTTTATTTTCCCAATGTAGAATAAATAAATTTAGAATTATTTCAATTGAATGAAATGAGAATTTAAATTAATTAATTACACTTAAGTAAGACTACGTACACACACACA